AAAAAGTTAGAAGAGCCGACATGCAAGAGAGATGTGCAGAAGTTGCTAGGGAAAATTAATTACTTGAGACGATTCATCTCTAACCTTGCAGGAAAGATTGAATCGTTTGTTCCTTTGCTTCGGTTGAAACATGAAAACGAATTTAGCTGGGGGGCAGAACAGCGGGAGGCTTTTAATAACATTAAACGATATTTGTTGAGTCCTCCAGTGCTTCGGGCGCCCAAGTATGGTGTGCCGTTCAGATTATATTATATGTTGCTGCAGAACAAAGGGTGATCGGTGGGGTCCTGACGCAAGAAGACGATGGGAAGGAGTATGTTGTGGCTTATTTGAGCCGTCGTTTGCTTGACACTGAAAGCAGGTACGTGTTTATTGAGAAATTGTGCTTGTCTTTATATTATGCATGTACCAAATTTCGTCATTATTTGCTTTCCAATACCTGTACAGTATCTTGCCAAACTGATGTGATTAAATATATGTTGCAATGACCGATCCTTAGTGGTAGAATTGGGAAGTGGGCTTATGCACTAATAGAATTTGATTTATTATATGAGCCATTGCGTGCTATGAAAGGCCAAGTGGTTGCTGATTTTATCGTTGATCATATGGTTAAAGATGATATAGATGTCGATTTTGTTAGTGTGTGTCCATGGAAACTTTATTTCGATGGATCGGTTTGTGGGAATGGACAAGGTATTGGTACAGTTTTGTTTTCACCAAATGATACGATTTATGAGACATCGGTCCGTTTAGAATATCCTTGCACTAATAACCAAGTTGAGTATGAAGCTTTATTGTTTGGTTTACAAAGTTTGGTAGATATGGGTGTGAGGGATATTGATGCTTTTGGGGATTCACGTTTAGTAGTTGAGCAAGTTAATGGTGAATTCAATTGTTTTGATGGACTACTGAATAGTTATTTGGACCGATGTTTGGATATAATTAAATCGCTTGACACGTTTACTATTCGTCACATATCTAGAGAGGATGATGTTAGAGCAAATTTCTTAGCACAACAGGCGTCTGGCTATCATGTTAACAGGGGAGTGTTTTTTGTAATAAATAAGCCGGCGTTTGTTACTGTTGGAGTTGATTCGGTTGGAGGCGTGATCAGTACTGTAACAATGGACAAAATTAACAATCTGACCGAACAAGGTAATACTGGTTCGGTCCAACAACAGGGAATAACCGGGTTAGTAGGAGATGAGTTAGGTGATTGGAGGAGTCCTTTAGTTAATTATTTGAGAGACCCAAGTCAATCGAGGGATAGGAAAGTTCGGCGACAAGTTTTAAAATATACTTTGTTAGATGATGAATTGTATCGCCGAACTATAGATGGTTTACTTTTAAAGTGTTTAGGTCCTGATCAATCTAAAGTAGCCATGGGAGAGGTACATGAAGGAATTTGTGGGACGCACCAGTCGGCTCATAAGATGCAATGGTTATTAAAGAGAGCGGGTTTTTATTGGCCGACTATGCTAGAGGATTGTTTTCGTTATTATAAGGGATGTGAGGCATGTCAAAGGTTTGGAAATATTCAGTTAGCACCTGCAGCTATGCTGCATCCCATTGTTAAACCATGGCCATTTAGAGGATGGGGTTTAGATTTTGTTGGTGAGATACATCCTTCATCTTCTAAAGGTCATCGCTTCGTCCTAGTAGCTACTGATTATTTCTCTAAATGGACGGAAGCGGTTCCTTTGAAAAATATGACTCATAAAGAAGTGATTAATTTTGTATTAGAGCATATTATTCATAGATTCGGCATACCCCAAACTTTAACTACCGACCAAGGGGCTTCTTTCATGTCACATCAATTTAGTGAGTTTGCCGAATCTTTTAGAATTAAATTGCTGAATTCGTCGCCTTATTATGCTCAGGCTAATGGACAGGCCGAATCTAGCAACAAAATTTTGATTAAACTTATAAAAAAGAAGGTAGAGGAGCATCCAAGAAGGTGGCATGAGGTGTTGTCAGAGGCTTTATGGGCTCATCGGATATCTAAGCATGGTGCGATTCAAGTAACACCGTATGAGCTAGTCTATGGGCAGGAGGCCGTGTTACCTGTGGAGGTTAATTTACAAGCTCTTAGAATAGCCAGACAAAATGGTTTGTCGGCTGTGGATTATAGGAATTTAATGATGGACAGGATAGATGACGTCCCAGAGGAAAGATTGAAGGCCTTGAGAGAAATTGAGAAAGAAAAATTAAGAGTAGCTAGGGCTTATAACAAGAGGGTGAGGGAAAAATCGTTTCAAATAGGTGAATTGGTATGGAAAACGATTTTGCCCATTGGAACTAGGAGTAGTAAATTTGGCAAGTGGTCACCGAGCTGGAAGGTCCGTATAAAATTGTAGAGATTGTTCCTAGAAATTCATATTTTGTGCAGTCTTTGTAGGGGGACAAGTTGCCAAAAGCTTTGAATGGAAGGTATTTAAAAAAGTATTATCCCAGCGTATGGCAAGAAGGTTGATAATTTCATGGCCGATATGTTGTTAAATATCGTCCTAAGAGGGAAGTAAACCTGTTTTTGGTGTTTTTGGTGACAATAGTAATATTATACCAAAAACAGGGGGGCATGTGTTGACACTGTAATTTGGCTAGTTGGGTTATTTGGTTTGCCAAATTACTGATTAGTTAGTGGTTTGCTTAATTAATTGCTTTCTTTGGAATTTGTGTGTTAAGTTAACAGGTACAGCACGTGGGCTTTGCATGCATGGAGAGGCTTTGTTGCGTCAGGATGTGTATCGTGCTGAAGTTGCATGCATGGCGATGTGCTGTTGGGCTGAGAAGGTTTTGCTCTGCTTGCATGATGGAGATGGAGGCCCATGCACGGCGCTGTGTTGCTGTTAGATGAGGTTTCCATGAAGGCATACGTATTTGTTTTTGGTAGAGTTAAACTTTTGTTAGATTTAATTCCGTATTCGGCTAGGACGGTAGGAGTAATGTGTGTTGCCGTATATGGTTGCTAAAAGACCGGAGCACGCCTGTATATATATCAGGTGCATGGCCGATTGGAAGAAACCAATCGAACAAAATCAATCTACTTATTTAGTTTTTCATCTATTTATATTTTCTCTTTCCCGTGCTTTTTCTCTCTACTGCCAAGCTCTAGGGTTTGGTGGATCTTTGCCGTTTTGCGTTGGAAAACGGTCGGTTCTCCTCCACGAAAGCGAGGAATCTTTGTTGCTTTGCTCGGAAAGCATCCGGTGATCGTCACGTAAGCACGGTCAGTATCGTGTTGTTGCGCGGATCAATTTCGCGTGCCAACAGAATCAACGCTGGCAACTTTTTTTTCAAATGGAATGCAGGCAACTTGCGGCGGCAGCAAGGCCCAAATCCATGCCGAGGCAAGGGCTGGGATGTAGGACAAACACCATTGGGTCGTATCGATTCCACCATGACTCGCTGGCTTTGAACGATGGGAAAGAAGAGGTGCAGAGGAGGAAGGAAGGAAGCACATCGTGGAGGGGAGGGGGAGCAGCGGAAGCGGCGCACCGGGAGGGGAGGAGGGACGGCGGAGCAAGCGCACCGGGAGGGACGGAGGTAGCGCAACAGGACGGCACATCCGCCGCCAGGTCGCGCGAGGGGAAGGGAGGAGTGACGCTAGGGTTTATGTGGGAGCATCGGTTGAGGAGATCTGAGCCGTTCATTTATGTCTCCCCGATCCTACGGTGACGAAACAGCCGCTACGCTGGGACACGTGTACAGTTAGATCCCTGCCTCACCGAGATCGGATGGCACATGCGAATATGGGCGTGCGTGTTATCTCGCAAAATATGAGGGGGTTTTTGAAAAAACAGCTGACGTGGCGTGCCTAATTTCTCACCGATCCTATGACGTTTAAGTAAACCAATATTCCAAAAAAAGGTTAACTGAATTTAACAAAATTTTGGGTCCAAATTTTAAACGGATGTAACTAAAATTCCTGGGTCTATTAGTAATGCATTGTGGGTCCCGCATGTCTAAATGGCTCAAATTTTGTATAAAGTTGTTTCTCTATATAATAAATCATTCCTACGTATTCAACTGAATTTAATAAGTTTTTAAAATATAAACGTGTGCACATTATAGGAATTTCTTATAGTCTATTAATAGTGCATTATGGGTCCCACATATATAAATGGCTTAAAATTCACGTAAAGTTGCTTCTCTGTGCAAGAAACCATTCATACAAAACTCAACTGAATTTTACAAGTTTTTTTAGTGTGAATGCAAGTTTAAATATTTTGAGCCAAATTTTACACACATCTAATAGAAATTTCTTGGTCCCTGATCAATTTGGATATCCACGTATAATTTATCGATATAACAGACTCAAAATGGATAGACCCTATTGAATCATGGATCGACAAACTCACTGAAAATGGTTTAGGTTATATCCATATCCTAACCATTCACATCCTGGCCAGCTGAGCGTCTGCTAGCGCCTGGAAATCCGAATTGATCAACAGGTGAGGCGCCTGGAAATCGGAATTACAACTTCACTACACATGGGGCTTTGATCAGACTGGACCCAACGGCCGTGCACATGTCAACTCGAACGGCATACATCATCAGCAGAAAAATCTTCAATTTTCATATTTGTAAAGATAAATATTATTAAAATTTGAAAAGTACCAAGATTTACATAATTTTACTTTTTTCTTAATCACTTTTTGACGTTACACACTGTGGAGGTCATCATTTTGCTTATTGACGGAATAAGCAAAACGACATATTTGCAAACCGAAAATAATTTGTAAATAAAACTTTTATATATGTGTTCTTAGCGATCTAAAAACAAATGCTGAAGAATAAATTACAACGAAAAAACCTCAAAATTAACTTCAAATTTAAAGTTGAAAATTCAAATTTTGGCTTAAGCAAAGCCAAAAGATGAGGTCGTATTGAAAGTTTATAGGAATCTTCCGAACTTTTTCGAATCTCACAATTCAAATTTACCTTTTTATTCTACTAAATTCGTAACCAATTTACCGATTCGAGTCAGCTCAAATCAGTTAAAGCCATGAATTTCGATTAGCTCTTCGCATTTTGAAACCTTGCATGCAGCCTCCCGGGCACATCACCAAACTAAGCTCCGTTTAAACCTACAACAATCTGCGACAATATATCGGATCTAGTCCGCAAAGACGCTCATCTAAATAATCTAAAATGTCATTATACAAGTGTTACATGCAGGCAATCGATCTCTGACTAACTCACGAATTTAAGAGGGCTTAGCAGGTGGCTGTGGTTTACACAACTGCCACAGCCAACATCAGATTTTGTCACACTGGTGACTTGTTTTTGCCGTCACCAAAACACAAACCGCCAATTCCACTATGGCCCTTCCAAACAGAACAAATTCTCGTTTAGTCGTTTGCAACGGTAGACGTTTAAGGTCAAACGTTCGTTTGGCTGCCATCTTTCCGACACTCTAAACCCTTGACCAAAGAAGGATCTCCTGCTTATGTCAATGCATTGAATGAAGAATTTGGTTTAGTTATACATCTTCAATGCCCTTCTCCCAACACTGTCTTCTGCCATGTCCGTGTCTTCCGAAAGTATTATTTCCAAGTCTCTTGTATCTCTTTTCATCACATTGCCCAACTTGGCAACAGCTTCCGTCTGTTGTTGTAAGGCCTGTAATAATGCAGAACGTTACATCTTCTGAGATGAAACAAGGCCTGCCATCTAAAAATCAAATACAAAGGAATCAAATCAGTCCCACACATAAGATACCTCAAGAAGCTCAGCAACACTCTGTTCGTCAACTTTCGCTGAGCTAGGAATATAGATAGGACCAGCAGTGCCACCAGCACTAGCAAGAAGGCGAGAAGTTGAAAGAAGATTATAAACTCTCCTGTGCAGATCACCAGTGGGTCCTTTTAGCTGTACACAAAGGATTCAATATAAAGAACTAATATGAGGGCAAAAGAAAACTAACCAGCCAAAATTAGAAATAATATGAGGGCAAAAGAAAACTAACCTGCTTTGCTATAACAGCCAGTCGTTCATACAGATCAGCTTCCTCCTTCGTTAGTGGAATACGATAACCCCGATTCTCTAATGCCTCCACTATTCTCATTATCTTTTTTACCAGTTCAAAAATGACAATAGTTAGAAACGTTGCCATGAACAATGAATTCCCACCGCCATTTTCAAATGAACATAGAGAAGAAATATCACCCTTAAGAGGCGTCTCTCAATAACCAACTCTTGCTGCTTCAGCCGTTGGATCCATGGGTATGTGTCAGCTTGGAAATGTCTTTGCAACTATAATTGAATCTTTGTTACACGAGATAAATGATTCTTGGGAGGTGCACATGAAAATTACTTGTATGAAGTCATACCTTTTTAACATTGTCGCGTGTCATGCTCAATCTATCAGAATCTGAGACAAGAACTCCATCTTGAAGCTGTGCACAGAAAAACAAGGGCTGTAGAGTCAACAGGTCTGGTCAATGAGAATTATGTATTTCATGGACTGACAAATGCACAACTACTGTAGAGTGGTGATTGTTACTAAATCTTTTTCCTTTTTTCTTTGCAAACAATAAAAGCAAATGGACTAGTGTAGAACGATGACTATTACTGACATCTTTTCATATATTTTTTTCAAACAAGAAATGCAAATGGAGGTGGCTAAAAGTACCCAAATAAAACAGGAACGGACAACAATCTATGGCTTGACATACAACAAATGCATACGAAGTACAATCTTATGTCTCCAGGGAGTGCAACCACCAAAAAGAGTCGGCCAATAGATCTTTTATCTACTGCTGGTAGCGGATAAATTGTTGGTCATTTGAATTATAAAATATAGGTTTATCTCCAACCACACGTCATATTTGCATGTGGTATAAAGAAGTCATCCAGTACAGCACCATATTTTCATCTTGGTAAAGGTTTTTACAAGCATCCTATAAAATAAAATATAGCACGGAAACACAGATATTGATTCAAATTTAAAAACCATGCAAAGCCCAACTTCAATGTAAAGATATTGCACAGACACTTTAAAGCAGTCCAGTTTTACCACCATCAAACGATTTATGAGAACTATAATGCTGCACACACAAATGAGCAAAAATGAATTGATGTCAGGACTACCCTGAATCACTTGAGTTCAGGCCAAACAATTGAAATTAATCACAAAGAAAATGTGCTAAAACAATTATTGCAGAGCATTATGCTTGCTACATTTTTGTTATTTCCAAGGGATACACCAGCATTTCAACAATTTGATGAATGCAACACGTCATGTGCCAGTAAGGAGTTACATCAGTTTGTCAAAAGGACATGTAGACTTGAAGAGAAGTTACAAATTCAATAATAAGAGGGATAAAATTATCGAAAAGACTAATCGGTGCGGACGCGCTAGATGCGTTCGTGGCACACAATTCCAGCACGGGCTGATGCATACGAGGATGGGCCTACTAGGCCATGTGTGCTGTTGTATGTGTCACGAACAGCGAACTTGCAAGGACTCAAGTTATATTGAGGTAATTAGTTGCTAATTGCAGTTTAAGAATTGACACGGTACGTGCATGCATGCATGTAGTGCAGTGTTATTAAGGCGGTATGGCGAAGTATGGCGACCCACCACCGCCTTACTGCCATAATGATAAGGCGTATGGCGTGACGACGCCTTAAGTGCATTGAAAAAATAGAAAGTATTAAGTAATATGGGCCCTAAAAATACTAATGGGGTACTCTATTCACCACAGCCCAGCCCAATAGTAGCACTTACCTAGCCTAGTCCAAATACTTTACTCTCTTAACCTAGCAAACAACATTTTAACCCTACCCAACAGCTTCCCTCCCAACAGCCGTCACCTCACCTTCATCTAGATCTCTCTCCCCCATTGTGCAGCACTACTGCAGGCTCCTCTCCTCCACCTTTCTTCTCTCTCCTTGTGCACGATGCAGCAAGCATACACCACATACACCATCATCCTACCCTTTCTCTCCTCTATTGCAGCCAGCAGCCTCCTCTCCTCCACCTTTTCTCTCTCATGTGGCACAGCAGCCGCAGGTGGTGCCTCTCTTGATCTCCCTGTACTCCCCATCAGCACAAGAAAGGGAGAGGGCGATGCAAGGGAGTAGGGAGGACCAGCAGCAAGACAACAGACTTTTCCCCTCTGCTCTTACCCTCTTTCCTTCAGTTTATGCCTGTAAGGCGGAGGTAGCCTATGGCGGAAGGACGCCATGCCCTTCTGGGAACGCCACGACGCTATAGCGACGCCTTAATAACCATGATGTAGTGTATGTGTGTATTTTTTTACCGTCAACAAGTTTGACCAAGCTTTTTTAACATAACATTGAATTTTAAATTTGAAAATTTTGACTAAATTTTTAGCCATGCCAACCATGCATTTACATATGTTGTCACTTGGGCCGTGGCCGAATTGGTCGCTTAGTTGATCGTGTCCATACCAGCCATGTTGCTTATCGGGGCTAACTAATGTGTATAGCGACAGGGCCGAGCGGGACATGCGCGCTAGTTCTCTAGCCAGTGCAGATGCCCGAAGTATAAGTCCCCTAACATTATGACTCGGATACATAAAGCTTTAAGCTATTTAAAATGCTATAATTTTTTATACTTCACTTTTTTTTCACTCCCAACCCCTACCACTTGTAGGATGATAACTAGATAGCAGCAGAAGTGTATGTAAACACATCTATCTATATATACTATACAGTTGAAACCCACTTAGTGGTAGTTATTGCTATAAAGCTACCACTTGAAATTGCACCATCACTAATCTTTCTCACCCTTAGATTGTGCTTTTCAAGCTTCAGATTATCACCTAATCTTCCTAGCCCATATTAATCAATGTTTGGATGTTCGATTTTAGGTACTTCTCAACAAATTTACAAGTTTCAATCCATATATTGTTGTTTTGCAACTGCAGTGTATACATAAATATCCCACAAGAACATGCAGGGTGTCATCTGGTAACCTAGATACAGAGCCAACCACTTGCATGAAAAAGTTGACATAAAAAAATATCTTGTGCACTTGTGATCCACAAGTCCCTTGCCATACTTCAAAATTAAATCTGGAGAATTGAACATCTAAATTTTAGCTAGTGGAAACCATCCCCTATTAGAAAAGTATGTATATGCTCAGAAAATATATCAGTAAACAAAATACTACAGATATGCATGTATGCAATACATCAACATGCATGACATTTATTAGTTGATTTAATTCAGGTCACCAGTTCACCATACATTTCAAGGAGGGTATAACGCAGCCAGTATGATAAAACAAAATGTTTTGTTTCTGAAATAGTTCAGCAGCCTAGCAGGCATTACCATTTTGTTCAAAGTCACCTCCCACAGAAAGAAATCAAGGTTTGATCCAGAAGTTGGGTAGGAAATGAATTTAAATGGAAAAAAAACTGAAAAACACAAACATTTTCTAGGCGAAATAGTCAAATGTGGTCAGCTTGTCAACGCAACTTGACATCTCCGAGAAAAAATCTTACCCTACTGCGGTATTAAAAAAAAAATGCAACGCAATTATAAATCACATGTTAGCATTTTTAATCAACTTCACTGGTTAAAACTTGCATACATTCTGTAGCCATATACTGAGGATAAAGAAAATAAGCGATTTATCTTAAAATATAATTTCTTCACTGAGTTCAGATAGAAGGTATCCAATCTAAATGCCGAACCTTAAGCCGGTAGGAAAGATCCTTAAATCCCTGCACGAGTTGAGGCCACAGCCTCTCCCTATCCGAACTATCCATGCCCTCAAGCTTCCCCATAGCTTCTGCCCACATGATCTACATCAACAAAGTAGCAAATACATATTAGTATATCCAACCAAAGCACCACAAAAGAAAATTAAAAAGTTAATTAAAACATTTATCGAATTCCTTACATCAGATGCCGCAACTGGCTTCACCCGTTGTGAAGGCTCTGTAACACTAAACAACAGATGCTGCCGGAATAAAGAGACCAACAAGTCAACCAAATCACATCAAATCCGAGGCTCATTCCCAGAGCATAAATGGGAGCACAGCTAGAAGGAAAATCTCACCCTGAAAGCATAACGAGGGTTTCCAGGATCCTCCTTGTACGCATCCACGATAGCCTTCAGGCATCAGAGAGCACCGAAATTGTGAGCCGTTTCGGTGTTCAAACAACAAAAGAAGGCCAAGATTTCAGCTAGGGTTGCGGACCTGGATGTCACGGTCGGAGGGCGAGAGCGGGAGCGGCGCGACGGGGGCCATCTGGGTGGTGATCTGCCCGCCGCCCCCACCGGCGAACCCGAACGGCGACGGGGACGGCGTCATCTGCTGCTGGAACCCAAACGGCGATGGCGACGGCGACGGCGCCACGCCGAACGCCGGGGTCGAGAAGGGCGCCCCGAAGGCAGGGGTCGAGGAGGGCGCGCCGAACGCCGGGGTCGAGGACGGGGTCCCGAACGCGGGCGCGGTGGAGGGGGTGCCGAAGGACGGGGTGGACGACGGCGCGCCGAACGCCGGCGTGGAGGAAGGGGTGCCGAAGGCGGGGTTGGTGGAGGGCGTGCCGAATGCAGGGGTGGAGGAAGGGGCGCCGAATGCCGGGGTGGTGGAGGGGGTCCCAAATAGGGGCGACGAAGCCGGGGTGCCGAACATGGCGGCGGCGGTTGCCGGCGGCGAGGGTTGGGGGGTTTAGGGTTTTCTCGGGGCGTGGGGGATTGTGGAGATGGCCGAACTGAGCGGGTGAAGGGAAGAATGCGGGGGAGCGGATGCGAATTTCGGAGATTTGGAGGTGTAACTTGTGATATGCTCAACTCCGGAAGAATCCGATTTGTAAAAAAAATAAAAATAATAAACGAACGGTCAAATATTTCAAAGGTTTTGCTAAATTTTTGGCGACACGTTTTTTGGTTGACTACAGTCGGGTTTTTTTAGCCATTGAATTGGTTTTTATAGGATTCGTGCTAGCATACTTAATTACGCATAACTAGTTGTGTTTGATAAGTTACATTCATATCGATATACAGTGGCGGACGCAGGATTTCGATGATGGGGGTACAGACCTACCAAAGCATCGTCTATTGAGAAAAAAATGAAGTGCTAACATGGGTTACTAGTGCAAATAAAAATGATTATTATAGAAATAACAAAATAGCTAAGAAAAATTTTATAATACTATTGGAAAGCATGATTTTGTGCTTAAGAATGGGTGTTTTGAACTATCAAACAATATTTTACTTGTTAAATCACAGTAGATTGTAAAAAATTTGGGGTACAATTGTCCGCCCTTCCATCGGACCTGCTGCCCAACACGCCTCGCTGGTCCGCCTCCATCGCAACTCCATTGAGCCTCCAGTGTTCTTCCATCTGGCTTTCATGCGCCATGCTGGTCAGACCCGAATCGTCTCAAAGTAGCATTCTTGTTTCCCCATTAGTTCTATTTTCTGAATTTGTTGTTGATCTAAATAGTGCCTTGCAGTGGCCATGTTGAGGTAGCGACTGCACTAATGCATAAGAGTGTCTTGTATTTGCAGGTCTCTATTCTGCAACAATCGCTATTATGTATTATATTTCTCCTCAGTCCTCAGATTGCTTCAATGGATAATGTAGGAAGCCCTATACTGCAAAATTCTGCAATGACAAAATTTTCATGCTATTTTGTGGATGCTGGTGATTGGGGATTGCTATTCGTGGAGTAAAAATGGTTTTATTTTACTTCTGTTAGGGCATACTCTTATATTGTTCTTCCGAGGTACCTGATGTAGCACTTGGGGTTGAGTACATGGCCTTTAGGTGAAGATTATTCTCATTTGCAAGTGGATTATTCTTCTGAGGTAGGTCGACCTATTGCATAATTGCGTTGTAGCTTCTAGCTATCCTAATTGATGTACTTCTTAATTTAGTCATGTATTTGATTGGAGGTTATATACCTGACTTCGATTACCACAGATAGAAAAGGTATGCGATATGTAGAAAATATTCTTGATGTTACTATGACTTTGTCGAACTATTGTGAATATTTGATTTCCTTATATATTTACTAACAAGGTACATAACATATCCACACAAACAAGATACATTATTCTTGCTCTCAAGAAAAAAAAATGATTCCTTTATTCAGTGATTATGCTTTTCCTCTAGAAGTCATTATGTACAATTTCATTCGTTTGCAAGATATTCAATGGAATTTCTATGTGAATTAATTGTTGTGGGTACGAAGGTGCACTTGACAAAGGTCAAGGAGAATTGGTGGACTAATCAGTATGGCAACTGATGGTGAACTAATTAGACTGTCTTATGTTTGGTTTTAACAATTCTATTGTTTCAGGCTACCCAAACTTCAGACATAGAGGCAGAGGAGCAGGACCACATGAAATCCTTAGATGATGAGCATGTCTCCATGCCTATCCAGGATGTGGATTTATATGTGGTGGTAAGTTGTTATTGCATACTGCCTAAATGCGTATATGTGTCAGACATGATTGAAAGATGAGCCATGATGGCATTGCATTATTTTTACATTGTATTTTTCCAATAAGTGCAAGAATAGTAACCCACATATCGATATCGATTAGGGGCAATACATATGGCTCAGTACCAGACTTCTGTATTTCAACCTGATCGATAGATGTAGACATGTATTTTGTATTGTATTTTAATTTTGTATATAAATGTATATATGTCTCAGTACCAGACTTATGTATTTTCTATGTAATTTCACACATTTTACTTAAAAATGTATAAATTCATGCATTAGGGTTCAAAAGAATACATCTGAGATTTGACTGATCATAAATAGCCTAGCCCAACATGAAAAACTAATTGTTAAAGATATGTATTCTATATTTCTATAAGGCATTATGCCACTGATAATCAATTGACAGGCTACTGCTGAATTTATGTCAATTGTGAGCCTTAATGTGATTCAGGTCAATCATCTCCTAGATATGGCCTACTTCAATGGACAATACAGGGAGCCCTGTATTGTATAATCCATATTTATGATTTCTCACATATTTGGATATTTCAATTGCTTCACTGTATATGACAACATACAGAAGGCTTATAGTGAGTTATAAATTGACTTTGACATCTGATTTTTATACTCAGTTTAGGCAAGTAATTCTGATTTTCTTTGGCTATGTATCCATATAGAACGTAGAGACCGGATTGATTTCCATTATCTAAAAAAAGAATTCTGATTTTCTGATTAATGTGATGACTGCGATCCACCATTTGATTTATGTAGCTAGGCATGCTAAAAAAACTACCCCTGTGAAGTGTACAATACAAGCTTATAATCCGTATACAGATACGCTAGGCATGGAGGGAAGAGAACGGAAGAGGCCCTTACTAGATGGCTTTTGGCTTTGAAGAAGCTCTACGAGGAGGTCAAGGAGATTTTATTCTTTTATTTCATTGATTGGCTTCGGGTTGATGTATCTAATTTCATATACTCCATAGGCACAACATGAAGATAATATCCATACGTGCAAGATTATTTCTTTACTTTTAGTTTTTACTATTTTAACTAAGATGATTGTTCACTGATCAGGTAAGGGCTAAGACCTATATTTGAGTAGTATAAACCTAATAAATGAAATCAACTTGGAGTATGCAGGAGTGAAAGGCATGGAACAGTCCTAATTCTGAATACAAAACTGAACCCTTTCTCTGTTCTAGGAATTTGAGTGTTTACCTTTTCATTACCAAGGCTTGAAATGCTTCCAATGGGCAACTGGTGGTGAATGGATAGAATTATGGTGATCTCTTTTTTCCTGGGTTGCCTTCACAATAACCTGTCCAAGGCCAAAATCTTAAAATCATTATTTAGAGAGATATTTTATTGAAGCACAATGTGTTGTGTCCCCAACCTCTGCCCCAGGGGCATGCAACCAAATTGCATTCCATGGATATAATAATTTTGCCTTCATATTGGCTTGTTATTTTTCAATTTTGATTGGCATGGTCCAGCATAGTAGTACTTTTTAAAATTTCACAAATACAAAAAGCTAACTACTATTTTTTCTTGATATTGTTTGATTGTACTTTTGTTATCCCCTTGACTTTTTGTTTGGCAAGCAAATCAATGACATGTTGAAGAATACTATCATTGTGTTGCAGGTTCGTGGCACCTAAGTGGTCCTTATGTGTACAAGGATCAATCTGCTGATGATATAAAGACTTTGGGCTGCTACTAAAAAAATGTGTAACAGGTAACCTCACATCTTATTATGACATAGCTGGCAGAAAATAGATTGAACTGACAGTCCAGTATCACACAAGTATAAGACCTCATCTAATATAAAGATCTATGGTTGCCAATTTTTCTTTTTATCACGAATTGACCCATTGGGTTGCTTCTCAGTCGTTCGCTACCTGTAATATCATAATTGATTTTAATCTGAATGTTCTTATGATGAGACCTTTTTCAATGGAATAAGTTCATTTGATTTCTAAATGCATCCTTGCTTGATTGATCTCTTTAGCACAATCTGGTGATACGATGCATGCACTTTTTAAGTACAGTGCAATGGTTTGTTTTGAAACAAACGAGTTAATTGTATATTCAATTCTTCTCATTATTCATACTCTCCACAATTGTTCATTAAAATCACTTTGTTTAATCAGATATGCCTATCGGGTGACTGCCTGTAAGTTTGGGATTACATTGGCTAAGTATCATTAAGTGTAACTTTGTTTTTTTTAAAAAAAGAAGAAAGCTATTTTAAGACCAGGTTGCAATATATGTTACTTAGAGTTACGAGCTAGCTGATTTTTTTCTAGAAATATTGCAAGTTTTTTATGTTTTCTAACAAAGCTGATTGACCATGTTATGCTATTTTGTCAGGTCCAAAGGTTCATAAATATATATATCTACAACTCCACTTTATTTAAAACTTTTAGGAGAAGTTGAGGATCACACATTCACATATTTATAAGTGGCCATTGCTTATACAAATGTAGGGACAAATTTTGTATGATCAGTAGCATCGGATGATCAAAGTGCCTTTTGTGTCCATTTTTCACATGATCTTCAACCCTGAGTTTTTTTCCATGTCTTATCCTTAATCCATACAACGGAGGACCTGTGTATTATTGTATCTTCAAATGTGTTTGTATTTCAATGAAACATGGTTTGAATATATGTTTATTTATTCTTTATTTATGCGAAATGAATTGCGCAATTTAAATTTAAACTTATTCTTGTTGCAATGTTAGTCATATGCTCTCAAATTAATTCATATTTCCATGACGTGCCTTGCACGTGCACGATTACTAGTACTTAATTACGCATAACTAGTTGTGTTTGATAGGTTACATTCATATTGATATACAGTGGCGGACGCAGGATTTCGATGATGGGGGTACAGACCTACCAAAGCATCGTCTAGTGAGAAAAAAATGAAGTGCTAACATGGGTTACTAGTGCAAATAAAAATGATTATTATAGAAATAACAAAATAGCTAAGAAAAATTTTATAATACTATTGGAAAGCATGATTTTGTGCTTAAGAATGGGTGTTTTGAACTATCAAACAATATTTTACTTGTTAAATCACAGTAGATTGTAAAAAATTTGGGGTACAATTGTACCCCCATGTCCTACTGTAGGTCCGCCACTGTTGATATATTGATATCTAGATTCATTAACATCCATATAGGAAATACTAAAATAATATACATTCTGAAACAGATGGTGTACTATTTTTTTTCTTAACTACATGCACTCGATCAAGTATGAGTGGTCTTGATATTTGTATCGACCAGCAGAACATATATTTATATGTTAAATGTAATTAAAGTATAAATATGTAATTAGTGTATATTAATGGCGTCATATTTTTCACCATAAAATAGTCGGTATATATTTGCATTGTAAGTTCCTAAATTACATATGTAATTTCATTATATTTACAATGTAACTCCGAAAATTACATATGTAAGTTCTAAAATTACATATGTAAATGATCTTTTAATAATGGGCTCTGTCCAATACTGGGACTGACTGACTTTATACAGAGATAGAAAAGGCGCAATCCAATCTCTTTTTGAATCGGATATTGGATAGGCTAAGCTAGGTGTAGCCCGCTTTCCAAAATTACATATATATGTAAGTGATGTGTAAGTGGGGTTTACATAAGTGTGGTGTAACTATTGTATAAAATTTGTATAAATATATAAATAACTTGTATAAATATATAAATAACTACCTACCTAGCTACCTTTAATTAGCTAGCCGGCTTAACGCTGCGCTTCACGAATTGCAGAGAGGATCAAGTTGCTAAAAAAAATCTAACGGTAGCACGTGTTGCCATAATTTTAGCTAAACCATAAATCATTATGTTGTATACTCCTTCCGTCCCAAAAAAAGTCAATCTAAAAAGGGATGTGACCCATCTTAGTATAACGAATCTGGATAAAAGGGTCACATCCCCTCCTAGGTTGGCTTTTTTTCTTTGGACTGAGGGAGTATGTTGAAACAGAAAAATCAATAATTGGAACATTTAAAAAAAATTGTGAAACACAATAAGAACATGCGTTGCAACATATTGTTGTCGCATATGAAACAATGAGTTTTAATGTTCTGAAACATCTGTTTTTCTTTCGTCAGAATATATTCATGCGATGTCTTATTATAAAGATTTAATTACAACAAATACAATGGTGAGTAGTTTATAAGAAAAATCATTTTAAAAATCGCTAAAATTATGAATGGATGGATAGAATAAAGAGAGAAGGGGAGAGAGTAAAGGGATGTAGTTGTGTGAAATTTATGAAACATAATGGAACACACATTGAAGCATATCGCTATTGCGTATGAAACATTGAATTTTAACAGGTTGGAGCATAGATCTATTTTTCATTAGAATATAACCATGCGATATATCTTGTTGCAAAGATTTAATTACGAATAATATAATTATGTGATCATATTGTAGATCGGATAAGTAGTTTAGAAGAAAAAATATTTAAGGTGAGAAGGAGGAAGGGAGAATAAGCTAACTAGTATCTATAACCTACTATGCATGCAGATGTAGTAGTAGCAGCACCCGATTTTTTCTTGTCTTATCGAGCGTCCGTGTACTAATATTCTCCCTCAACTTCTTTTTGCATTTTCTATATGAAGCTATACTTTTTAGATAAAGGTAGTATGCCCATTGGCTATTGTTGCTTAAAGAAAAATGTACTATGTCTGTTAGGTTGCAACCAGCTTGATTGACAAGGCACAATTTATCACTTCTTTAAGTTAATTATGCTCGAATAACTTATATACAAAGTGGTAGTTAATGATCATGTTTGATTAACTTATAGTTAACTAGTTATTTAGTTGCACTTAGAGTTGTGTATGATCTTTTCTATTAAATTAGATCCGATGTGTCAGTGAAAAAAAAATGGCAACGTGCATAAAAAATTTTGGTGTTGTTTAGTTGATGGCCAAAATTAGATCCCACGTTTCAATGACAAACAAGCAAGATGGAGCAAATAATTTAGAGTTGTTTGGTTGATGACCATAAGTTACCACTCTTGTTTGTCATATCGTTGCGACTTTACGAGAAGTTCTGCTTCTTTGCTTTGCTTCCTTTTTTTTTTATCTTTCCTGCTTGAAGCCATGTCTCCTTTGTCTCTAACTCCATCACCACTTGTGGCAATGTTGTGGCACGCGACAAAGTTGTCCAAGCCCGAGCGCGAGGAGGTGTGTTTCCTTGTCTTGGTCTTGCAGAGCGTGTCCCACGGTTCCTGGACCCTGCAGCTTAATCCATAGCCATATTAGTGATTAGGAAGTGGTGGGTCACTATAATTATTAAGGGTGGGAGTAACTAGCGAGAGCTACGGTTGGTTTTATTGATAAACGGAATTGCAATGGATCTGTTGACAATTTTATTGGAGCAAAACTTTCAAATTTTGGACCTTTGGATTCGCTTCAAGATTTATGAGATTCGGGCGGATGAGAACTTTCAAGTTTTAGAGCTTTGGATTCGCTTCAAGATTCATGCGAATGAGGGAGTGGTGGGGGACATCACTAGCTCGAATATACCATCATTATCTTATGTATTCATCAATCAAAGATCAATCAAAGGTGCATATTTTCTACGTGAGATTTATATGTTATATATTTGAACAAACATAATTGCACTATGACTTTTGTGTGTTCTCGTTTACAGATGTGCTTGCTTGGGTAAAGGGAAAGAGACTGAGCGCAAGGAATACACGGATGATCAAATAAGTTGATTGGGACCAATCAAGGCCTTCCCCAAGTCTATTCCAACATTATCATGTTATTTTTGGTCCATATAAGGCAAAAAAAAATAAAATTCTGCACGTTTTGGATTTGGATTCAGACCTCCTTGCAGCATCAACCTCAAACGTACCTAGTCATTGATCTAGAAGGAATCGCGGGGCCCATGAGTACTTTTTGGAAATATTATAGAGTTTATTTTCAAATGATTTTGGTCTCACATCAAAATTCCTAATGGGTTGTCGGGAATCTGCAAAACAAGTCACGTACCTCATCCAGTCCGAGTCTAATTTGGTCCTTGGGCTTTGTAATTGTGTCGTAGGCTAATCCCAAGGGGGTGTTTGCCCTAGGGCAAACTTAGGACGCCCCAAATCATATATTTATTCAATAGCTGTCATCATTTAGAGTTGGGTTTGTTTAAATTATTCCTACCATTTCAATTTCGCTGCTAGTTCGATTTGTGGAACCCCAACTTTGTGATCTTAATTATTCATTTGCAAATTGAGTTGCAATCTACCTTGTTTTTGCTTGCTTTTTTCGATTCGCATATATGGATTAACCTTCTCAGTGAGGTCAATCGGGTTTCGGCACAGTTAATAACCAGATGAGTCGTGGTGATTTGGTTTGTGGAAACCCAATTTTGAGATTGTCGACGGGTGATACCTGTAGACCGAATATAGAGGGTATTGGGGTACGCTGGTACAAGGATCTACGTAGTACGACATCGAGCAATCAAAAGACAAGAGTTATACTGGTTCAGGCCCCTTGATAGGTAATAGCCCTAATCCAGTTGATATGGGATTATATGGTGGAAAACACAGGTTACAAAGGAAACGATGGAACTTGTCGGATCCAGCGAGATTGTAGTCGAGTTGATTCGACTAGCTCTCGACGACTTGGCCCCTCGCAGGCTCCGGCTTCGTAGGCTGTGTGGGTTGTGTTGGCTCTGAGATTCGATGATCTATGCCCTCCCCGGGGGGTCCCTTTTATATCGCAGGTCTGGAGCTCTCCGAGTAGGACTCAAACATACCAGACCCAATACAATACGTAGGTAACCCAGTTCAGTCCGAGAAGGACTCTTCCCGTCTATTGATTTCGTGAAAAGTTTCCTTAGATCATAAAGGAAATATCCGCGTACGCGTGGGTATGCCATGTCGATACGTAATGTATATCAAAGGGTAGAGGGTATGCCTGACCCGTAACCCTGACAGAGATCTTAATCATTCAATTGCAAATTGAGTCACAATCTATCTTGTTCTTGCTTGTGTTCTTCGATTCGCATATAGGGATTAGCCTTCTTGGCGAGATAATCGGGTTTCGGTACGATTGATAACCAGAAAGACGTGGTGTCGCGATTGCAGGATTTGGATTGTGTTGATCGAAAGCCGGATTGTATGTGTCAAGTTTCTACCAAATCGAAAGCTATCCATATCTATCAGAAGATCGAAACCTAGTTCCTCATCAAATGGGGAAATTTGGATATTTTGATTGGCTTTAAGATTCACGCAGAAGGGGGAGTGGGAAAAATAGCAACATTGCACAACCGACGGGAGTGAACCCACGACCTCCAACTTCATGTGCGCGTGCCTCCCCGCTAAACTAAACTCCTTGTTTTGAATTTTTTTATGCATGTTACATACTAGTTATATGTAATTATAATGTAGTTATAATGTAATTATATTAAGTTGTACTATAGTTACATTTGAAAATTTTTCAATAAAAGAAACTTAAGGCGGTTTTTAGAATGTTTCGTTCATGCATTGTATTGCTTAAGCCTTCTAAACCTAGGTAACGAGTGCTTCGTTGAATTCTGGTTCCTTATGCGTCTAATTTGGTTTTATTTATTAAATATGCATCTCTTTTGATTTATTAATATGAGTTTGCTTTGGTCGAATTGTGAATTAGTACAAGTTGATTTTTAAAATGTTTAGAATTTAACATTTTAATAATTTTAGATTTCTTTCACTATTTTCACTTCTGGCCCTCTTTGCATAATTTAATAGGCTAAAATTATCTTTAAGAATCAACCTTTAAAATTCCAAAACTTTACAATATAACTTTCTTTATCGTATCTTATATATTCTTTACCTTTATATTAAAAAGCGTACCTATAATTTATAAACCAGTTTCTCCACTTATAATCGAAAACATATCGCCGCCCCAGTTCCATCAAATTCACTACGTCGCCAATTTTTTTCTCTTCATTATGAAAACAAATCAAGAGTGAATTTAAGTTTAGCTTACGAAATAAATCGTGGAACAAGAAAAACAACCCAAACACGCCCAAGGTCAGTGCTGTAATTTCTCTTTCCTGATCCGACCGGTCGCAGGCGCAGCGCACGTCTCCTCCTCCTTGCGACCTCGTCGAGTCCACCACCAACCTCGCCGCCGCTGCTACAGCCGTCGTCTCCCACCGCACGCCCCGCCCCGCCCCCCACCCATCGCCGGCGACGCGGATCCCTCCTCGACGGTGCGCCCGCCTGAGCAGCCGTGCTATACCTCTGTCGGGGGCATATTCCCCGCCGGCGCAGCAAGCTGAGCGGAGAGGAGGATGCCGAAGCGGACGACGCACACGTACTCCAGCGAGGACGCCCTGCCGGAGGGGCCCGAGTCCGACCTCTTCGTCTACTACTGCAAGCACTGCGCCTCCCACGTCCTCATCACCGGTCAGCTTCTTTCCCCCTCCCTCCTGTTCGTTTCCCCTTTTGGGGAATTCCCCTTCTTGTTCGCCCAAGAGCTCAGGTTGCTAAATTTTACCAGATCCGTGTTACTCTTCTGGATTAGTTCTATGTTACACTAGTATACAGCTCAGCATTCAGTGGGAAATCTTTAGGTGTAGTTTTGATCTAATCATTGCGAATTACTCACAAGCATGAGCAGCACAGGCACAGCGAGCATAGGATTTCACCTTCTAGAGAATTCATGTTCTTTGTGTGGGTTCTAGCTTGCAGATTTTCACGCTTGCTTATATTACAACGATGAACGAACAAATCTGGTCTTGTTTCTCTGCATATAGTATATGTTGTTTACAAGTATACTTGAAACCACCTACCATTTTGGGATCAAATAAAATTGTTATGTATGCATACCAATTGTTGTTTGATAAGAACTGTAGACCTGTTTCTGTAGCAAACTTGTGATATAGGCCCACATACAGTAGTGCATTTATCCGAGCTCACCAGAATCAGTTTTTAGTGTTCTGCATGGTGTGTTGGTATTGTTTTGTACAACAGAATGTGGGAGTCAGAAAACCAGAGGCTGGGCTATCCATGTAGATTAGTCTCCTATTTCTACGAAGGAATTATTCATTGATGTTAGTGGTTATTTTGTCTTTTACCCTAGGCCTTGCTTGTGAACTTTTGTTCAATCTGAATGTCTTATGTTAATCTCCATTTCATGAAACTTGTCCAGAATTAAACCAAAAAACTTTAGAGATGCAGAGTGTTTGCAAGGGTGACTGCGTATTGTATTCTTCCTTTGGTTAGTGATTTGGGTAGATTTTGCTGTTATGCTATTGACTGGAATCTGAGCCCTAATCCTAAAGATATGCCATTTGAAGATGATTGTTACGTAAACAAGTGAAATTAGGTCTGTTTTGCACGACATAATGATCTAATTGATAGCAAGTAGGTTACATGGGACCAATTATAGTGCTTCAGTTCTGCTAGGTCAGCAGCATACTTGGTAGTCTATGATAATTCTTGTTTTTTGGCAGCTCTAATCCACCAGAAAAATTTTCGAATTTCATTTGAACCCTGTTTGGTAAATGGGCTAAAACCTCTTTGGAATTAACTACACTAGATGTCCGGGGAACAACCATGTTAAGTTATTAGGCTCTTCATATCTTTTATCTATTCCTTTTGATTCAGCTCAATAACTGACTCAGAAGTTGAATCTAATCCTTCAATCATGCCAACAACAATGTGGTGGATTTGGGTTCTGTTTCCTGATTTTCGTTTCTTAGAGAATTAGCCAAAGCTACTATCTGCAAGCCTACCACCTTGTTATATGAATGCCATTTGTAACTGTTGCAACTCTATCTTCAACTGGAGGGATTGTGCTTTATGACATATTGAGTCATTCTATTTAGTTGCTAACCTGCCAAAGGATATTTGGGATCACAAAATTAATTGCCGTGCTATATAATGCTCACCATTTTTTAAGTTTAAGGAACATGATTTTGTATTTAGTATCTATTGTTGAGACTGTAACTGTCTGGAAATTTCCCCATTCTGATGTGTTTATTCTAAAGATACCCAATTGCAGAAAATGCCAAAGAGGAAGACTGACAGAGCACATGTACTAGACAAGAAAAAACATCTCTCAAGGCTAAATGTGAAGGAGGCAGGAAAGGTCCTGTTGAAACGGTATATTAGTCATCCTATGAATCTTTTCTTAGTCTTAGAGGAAAACACCATTCAGTTTCTTAGATATTCTTGCATTATTTATAGATATTAAGTGGCTGTTTGGTTGGTTACCTGGGACATGCCTGAGATGGACCTGAACTTCTGATAAATATTCCTGGCCTTAGTTTGTGAGGATTGTTGGAGATTGTACTCGAGTGAAGAATAGAAAAGCAAAATCACATTTTTCGGTAGAGAAAGTTAAAATTTAGAATACACAATACAGTTTAAAACATACCAAATACTAGAATAACATCCTTTGCCTCAAAAAATAAAGGAGAAGAAAAAACGTCTGGAACTCTGGATTAGCTTGGTCCCATCCTACCACAAGAGATAATGCTGATGAGCTGAACCTGTCTGTATATTGACTATGCCATGGCAGCGATCGCTTCTCAATAGATCTAGTGTCACTCTGGCTGGGTTCTACATGGCCTGTACCATGCCTCTGCTTCCAGGCTTTTGAGCTCAGGCTGCCACCAACAGATCTTATGTTATGTGTACCGTGATTGTAATCTTCTTCATATTGAGTTCAACTCCTGGTGATTACTCATCCAATTATCAGGTATTATGAACTGCAAAATTCAGTGCTACAAGTTCTTTTCTAGAAGAAAGCACAGTACTGCTTCTTAACACAGTGTGTCTGTGCACAGTTTTGCCTGACTTAACACCATAACAATAGATTTTGTTGCACACATTCTCCCTTCATTAATTTCTTAACTTCTAAACTTTTATAGGCATTCTGTTTTGTCATCACCATTTACAATTTTCATCACCATTTACAATTCTTATATGCCATATCTGGATCATTTTGGTTAATATAATTACTAGGTTGCACTCCAAACTTTGATGATTCTCTAATGTATGCAGGGGAGAAGGGAAGCTTGAAAAGCAGTTCCGTATGAGTTGTTTGGGATGCGGCCTTTTCGTTTGTTACCGATCAGAAGAGGAGTTGGAGCTAGCTCCATTCATATATGTTGTTGATGGAGCACTAAGCTCAGTGGCGGCTGAAACAAATCCACATGTATTACCAATTTACCATGAGCCATGTGAACTATATCATTAGTCCTTTTAGTCTATTATTCCATGTTCTAAGCTAACAACACTTTGAAATGGCAGGATGCACCTGTACCACCTTGCATCACACAATTGGAAGGTGGCCTTGTCCAAGTAGCCATTGAGGTTGAAGACCGGGCACAACGGTCAGCAATAACAAGTATGTTGTGTTGATCTAACTGGAAGGAAGTCATACTTAAAATACTACTTGCTAAGTTTATGATAAATAATGCTAGATAAGCCTTGAAAGTTTTCAACACACTGGACAATTCAATGTTAAATTGCTTTTCTTTTTCACTTGCCCAACACATTCTGGTGACAAAACTGTATTTACTTTAAGGAGTGAATGCTGATGATGTTCGAGTAACAGTTGCTGCTCCTGCTGCTCGAGGGGAAGCAAACAACGAACTACTAGAGTTCATGGGCAAGGTGATTTTCTCTTATGGTACCTTTATTGGGAACATGTTATCTTATTGAATTCCACTTTCGTAGGATGTTCATCTACTTTGAGACATGTAAAAATGTGTTAATGTTTCACAATAAGCATTCTGACCCTCTGATGCGAACAAGTTCATGCTATGAATCAGGTTCTTGGCTTAAGACTCAGTCAGATGACCCTTCAAAGAGGATGGAATAATAAGTCGAAGCTTCTGATTGTGAGTCATTGCTACAAAGTATTTTCTTTTCATTTGTTATTGTTTCACACTTATTCTTTGACAAAATACGTTATCTTATTTAGGTTGAAGATTTGTCAGCACGGCAAGTGTATGAGAAGCTCCTAGAAGCTGTCCAGCCTTAAATTTGTGGCAGCTCCTAACGGAGCAGAAGCAGAGGAGGTTTTGAAACATTGCTGGATTCATTAGCTTATCGGAGTTGCATTGTTTCGGTTGTAAACGTGAGTGAACATAGTCTAAGATGACCGTGATGTAACGCTGTCTCTGTGTACCCTTCTTAGTTGTGATACAAACTGTACATCTTTATAACAATCCTGCAACGTTTTTTTTTTTGGGTGACCAATTTCGAGTCCAAAGCTTATGGTTACTCTGATTATTTTTGTACATATATCATTTCATGTTTCCTCTCGAATGTAATCCATTTTACAGCTCATCGTTCAATAGGATCCGTAGGCCAGATATGTTGTCTTCTTGTCGCTTGTAAGTAGCCGTTGGTCTTTATTCCATGAAGTATTTATGCGTTGCTTCCAAAAGCAAGGAAACATGGCAACATTCTCACCCCTCTTGTGGCTCTCAAAATGTTGCTTTAACCGCTATTTTCCTTATTGTGATAGTTCAGATTTAGAAAACCTCTTAATAAATTAGCCAAGTTCAAAATAATTTAAACTAAAATTTGTTTTAATTTTTTACAAAATGTCCAAATTTTATCAACGAGACCGCTGAGAGCAGTAACCAAAACTGGGCATAATACTTTGGTATTGCAAGTTGAGAGTCACGTTATATTTGATATTGCAGCTGTGATTCAAGCTTAACATCATGATAAGATCAAAAGTAATCTTATTTCTTCTGGCAAAACCGGTTTTATGGGCCTTTACATATGCTTGCTGGGATTTAAGAGTGATGTTTGTGGGCTTATTATTGAACTCCTTCCTTATTAGGATTTTTCACATAGCGCGTCCATGTGTTATTCCGTTCGATTCCACACTGTTGATGCGAAAAACACACACTGGCCTGGAAGATCTGCTTAACTTCAGTGCAGGTCCAAAATCTTGCTTTTAGGTTCGTGAGCGTGCCAGTTGATTTGATCCTACAATTAACAAGAATGAAAGACAAGAAAACCGCGGGTAAATCCATAAACGATAGCCGATCGGCTAGTTGTCGATGACATATCATTTATCTTCGAGCCGATGTCATATTGGAATCGATTGGCAGTCATTAGTAAATAAGATAAGACTAAATCTACTCGATCGACTGTAGATATTAACATATAATCCCTACTACGATACATATTTAAACTAAGTGATTGGGATAGATCGGTCGCCATGTCGAGACAGTATAAATCACTTAAGTCAAAATATATAATAAAGTACTAATTATATATATGTTTATAGCATAGCCGATCAAATAAATCTAGCATGTACCGGCTAATACTCCGATATCACTCTATATTAAGATATCAAAAACAAGCAGAATATATTAAACGAGAAGCCTAATATACCTTAATGCAATAAGATCTTAATATAAAGGGCAGATTTAGCATATCATTCGAGCATATGAGATATAAAATAACTAAATCAGGTAAGATCGGCTGAAACCCCAATGCTATCTCCCTCAATGATCATAAAACAAGCTAGATATCATAATTATTGATATTACTTAATAGATCGAACTCAACCGATGCAGCATTAAGTATAAAAACAAGTATAAGATCTAGGCAAGATGATGAAAATTTCTAAGAGATGGTAGATACACGATATAATCTAAACTAATAACAAGATATAACTCTACCGATTGCTTCCTAACAGTAAGAATCAGCCGATAATAAGTTATATAGCGCAACTAACAAAGATTACGAAGTGTATATGATAACTCGACGAATTACATAAATAAGATTAGATTGTCATAAAGATGGAAGCACTAATCCCGAGAACGCAAGCCGCCATGACAAGTTTACCTTTAGTAGAAGATCGAATTGATGCAGCTCAATCTCAAAGCAAGAACTCGTTGAAATAGAACGAAAGTAAAAAGGGTGGCGATGCGCCAAAAGTGTATTGATCTGATGTTAATTGATTACATGAGTTCGGGTCATATTTATACCCGAGATACAAAATATGTCCTTGCCGGACACGACTCTTATCTCTAACAAACTCCAAGATACCATAAGTCTTTGTGGCAGACTTTTGCCCAAACATATCTCTAAGGAAATTACATAACTGTTGATGTAAAAACACGAGGCCTAGGAGATCTGCTTAACTCCAGTGCAGGTCCAAAAGCTTGCCTTTAGGTGTGTGAGCGTGCCAGTTGATTTGATCCTGCAATCAACAAGAAATGAAGACAAAGAAACCATGGCTAAATCCATAAATAATAGCCGATCGGCTAGTTGCCGATGACGTATCATTTATCTCTGGGCCGATGTCATATGTGAATTGATCGGCAATCACGAACGAATAAGAAAGAATTGAATCTACTCGATCGACTGTAGATATTAATAATATATAATCCTTGTTAACAATAACATCCTAATTAATAGATACAATTGCCTTATTCAGAGCTTTATCTCTATCGTGGCAATCCCTGTGAAGCACGTCAATCGATTCTAGAAACAGCCCCGAAGCCATCTTCGTTAGAATCGGCTATACCAACTCCATCGGCTGTATCGGCTGTCCTCTATCCGATTCATCTCAGCCGATGCAGACTCCAGCCGATGCATACTCTGTTCTTCGAATCTAACTCTTTGCCGAATCCGCTTCGATTCCAATGTCAAACCTAGCTCATATCTTTACCAAATTTGATCGTTTAACACATGCCACATACGTGTGGCCCGTAGCCTAGTGAGAAACGTCGAGCAAAAAATGGGACACCCTTTCTCCGGGCGAAACACGATATAGGGAGAGAGGCGTCCGACCGCACTATAGAGGTCGTATCCTCATTGCTAGTTGTCTTCCATCTGTGTCGACTTATTTAGTAAACTCTTCTATTTAATACCAGATAATACTATGAGACTTGTGCTCTTTTAGGTTCTGGGTCCTAGCTAGTAGGCGAGGCCCCACAAATCCTTGGACATGTTTGGGGGAGCTTTTAGCTGCTAGCCTGCTACAACTTCTCCTAGAATCGGAAGCTGCCCTAAACAGTTCAGTTTTTAGGGCATGTTTGGTTGGAGGGGCTACCTTCACTTTAGTCCCTAAAGTCCCAAACAGGGATAACTAAAAGGGACTAAAATTGCATTAGTCCATTAGTCCCTATGGGAGAAGCTTATAGGGACTAAAGTTGCTTCTTTCCACTTGCTGCCCCCATGCACAACCCTATCTTGTATGGTTTCAGGGGTAACATGGTATTTATACAGTGCAATTAATGACCTTTAGTCCATTTTAGTCCCTCCATCCAAACAGACACGGACTAAAGTTTTTAGTCCTAGGACTAAAGGATCCAAACACCCTCTTAGTTCAGATTTTGAGAAATGTAGTTGTAGAATTCAGAAAATAAAATAGAAGCAAAATACAGAAAATAAAATAGAAGCTAGAAGCTAAAAAGCTAGCTGCCAACCAACTAAGAGCTTATTTGGAGGAGCTTCTAGTAGCTGCAGCTTCTCCTAGAATCTCCAATTGCTAGAAGCTCCCCCAAACTGTCCAGTTTTTTACCCAGATTCTGAGAATTTGTAGTTGTAGAATCTGGAAAATGAACTAGAAGCCAGAACTTCTACCAGCTAGCTTCTTCGCAGCTGCTTCTTAAGCTCCCAAACAAGCCCTTAATTCTCAGTATCAGATGGGCTATAGCTCGCACCCTTTCTCTCTCTAGCAACCAGAGCACGGGGAATTTAACTATTTGCCAATTTTAGGTTTGCCACTTATCCAAATGCCCCTCTTAGGTTCGAACATAATAATTTGCCACTGGAGAGAGATGATTTCTTAACTATTTGCCACTTTTGTCTACGTGGCGTGCCATCTTGGCGTACCCGCGTGGAAAGCAGCGTGGATCCTACCCGTTAGCCCCTCTCATCTCCTTCTTCTCCACCTCCGGCCTTTCGTAGCCACGCCCCGCCGGCAAGGGGACGGCGGCGGCTATGCCCACGAGCTGCTCCGCGCATGCGACCGCAACCGCGATGGCCGCGTCGGCTACGACGACTTCCGTAGGTAAATGGACGACAAGGAGCTGGAGCTGATCTACCGCATCTTCTGCTGCTTCATCCGTCCTCCTAAATCAATGCGATGCTAAATGTGCTTCATGTTTAGTTGTGAGACCTTTAATCATGATAGAGTTGCTCGAGCAAATGTGGCACACGGTATTGACAAATTGACATGCAGTAAGCCTAGGCTTTGTGATTTTCCGATGTAATTTAGTTGTGCAACTTTGCTTTCTAGTTCACCTTCGCATGTTGCTAGCACTAGAAGCTACATTGGGTCCCATGGAAGTCGAAGAGTATGCAATGCATGCTTTATGAAATGGCTAATAAGTTGCATATTATTAGTAGATACCTTCTTCCGGAGATGGCGGACGTGGCTACGACGGCCGGAGGTGGAGAAGAAGGAGAGGAGAAGGGCTTACGGGTGGGGTTGAGGCTGCTTTCCATGCGGACACGCCACGATGGCACGCCACGTAGGCAAAAGTTGTCAAATAGTTAAGAAATCATCTCTCTCCAGTAGCAAATTATTAAGCGCAAACCTAAAAGGGATATTTGGATAAGTGGCAAACCTAAAAGTGGCAAATAGTTAAATTCCCCCCAGAGCACACCTGCACGGTTGCATCCCTGGTTTCCTGGCGGACTCCAAAAACCCTTCCTCAAACCCTCGCCCCCACAACGCCCCGCGACAGGAGGAAGAAGGTGAGGACAGCTGATCTGATCCCCCATCCTCCCCGTCCAACCCCCGAGATTTGCTTCTTCGGATCCATATCCAAACCTCCTCTTCGGCTCCCTCCAACCCTTTCACGAATTTCGCAGGGGGCGTATGGTTCAATAATTAGTTTTTTTTGGGCAGCTTCTCGTCTGATTTTGTTCCTGGTGACTGAAAGCAGCAGAGAAGCAGATAGGCTCGCGGTGAGCCATGGGAGAAGGCGGAGACGGGAGGTCCTTCAATTTTCTTCAAGTTCTGTTTGGTATTAAGTTTTTCTCCCCCTCTTTACTGTGTGATTGAACTCGAGATCCACTTGGAACACTGGATGATTCTTCATGCATGCTTTGTTTTGGATAGTGCTGCGTGTATTTTTTTTTTTGGGGGGGGGGGTGGGGGGTGGGGGGTGGGGTAAGCATTAGTTCTTGCTGTGCTCAGGGAATGTGTAAACATTGGATGATTCAATTAGCAGGAACGAAAAGTTATAGTAGTACATCTGGTTTAGTCAAGCTTATATAGCCTTTTCAATTTCAGAGGGTGTAATAGCTGGAGGTGCTGCCGGTGTTGTTGTTGAGACAGCTCTGTATCCTATTGATACAATAAAAACCAGGCTTCAGGTATGTTAACTGCATATGGTATTCTCTTAATGTGCAATTTGTTCATTAGGTGTCTCCAAAAATCGTGCTCCCAAAACTCTTTCGAACCAATGTTTACATATTGCCACATTGTCCATCTTGATCTAATTGCTCTTGAACTAACAATGTACTGAGCTTCCTTTCAGTGCCTACACCTTTCATCTTATGAAAACACTAAATGTTCTTATCACGATTTTCCTAGTAACTCATAAGATCGTAATTGTATTTTGTGCTTTTGTGAGAAAGTTCTCTCTTTTCTATAGGCTGCGAAAGGTGGAAGTAAAATTCAATGGAAAGGCTTGTATGCTGGGTTAGGTGGAAATATTGCTGGTGTTCTCCCGTGAGTATATAGTGAATAATAATAGGTTTCCTGTGCTAGTCCAGAATTGGAGAATCAATTATCAATATTGCCTGTTGGCATCTGTTTTAAGCTGCCAGATGTTAATTTTGATCCACACTGCGTCTTTTCACTTCTATACCACATTAACATAAATACTAAATAATATTTTTTATTTAAGATCTGTTTTCCATGGTTGACCTGTCCTCCAAATAGGTATTGCTATATGTACTTGACCAGATTATCCGAGTTCTCATTATTTATCATTGTTTTGCAACTATTGTTTTGCTTATGTGTTTTGACTAGCCAAATCTATTTTTTACCTACAGGGCTTCTGCAATCTTTATAGGAGTGTATGAACCAACCAAAAGAAAACTGCTAGAAATGTTTCCTGAAAATTTGAGTGCTGTGGCTCATTTGGTAAGTTAACACACAGACATATTCAAAGTAATTTTATTTACTTCTGAAGTTAATGGAATATACTAGTGAAAATTGTTAAGAGGTTTTCTGCAATAAAGTCATGCTGCTGTCCCTTGTCTGAATTATGCTACAGACTGCAGGGGCAATTGGAGGTGCTGCATCTTCTCTTATTCGTGTTCCCACAGAGGTCTGCACATCTTCTGTTAGTACTTCATAATTCCTTGCATTGTTCATGTTTAAATTATATTTCACTGAGTTTAGGTGGTTAAACAAAGGATGCAAATGAGTCAATTCAAGACTGCACCTGATGCTGTTCGCCTTATTATCCGTAAAGAAGGATTCAAAGGTCTTTATGCTGTATGTATCTTTGAGTTTATACTATACCACTTCCCTATGTTTATGTTTTGCTCAGCCAATGCTTACTCTTGCTACATTTGATTTTTAGGGCTATGGTTCCTTTCTGTTGCGAGATCTACCATTTGATGCTATTCAGTTTTGCATATATGAGCAACTTCGAATAGGCTATAAACTGGCGGTATTTATCTCATTTATCCCTATTCTATAGGCGTAAGCCTCTTCTCATTCTGATGTAAATTTGACTATCAATTATGTTTCTATGAAAATGCCTGCCTGACAATCTCAGAGGCTGCACAGTGCCAGCTCTGGCTATTTCTCACATTAGTGACTCCCGTCTTTCTGCCATATGTCCAACACACCGATTTAGGTCATTTGATTTGTACAGATATTGTGTTTGTTAGGCATCTTCAGCCACTCACTGGCTCACAAAATCACAATGATTCAGAGTTCACAACTTATAACATTACTCCTCTTCTCATTGTCATTTAAGTTGCTTTACTGTGGTTATCATGACTTGGCTTTGGAAGATATGGTGTTTTTCCTTTTCAACTAAAACTGAACTAGGAAAGTTATCTTTACTACTACCTCCGTCCCAAAATATAGCAATTTGTAGCTATGTATCTGGATATAACCTTGTCCAGATACATAGCCAAAAGTTATGTTTTGAGATGGAGGGAGTAACTATTATTATTCCATAGCAACCATAACTGAAATCATCTGGGATTTTTTCCCTATTTTTTGTGTAAAACTGTCATAATTTACTTATCCTTTGTCTGTCTAATGATTTGTGCATTCAGGCAAAGCGAGACTTGAAAGACGGAGAGAATGCACTTATTGGTGCTTTCGCTGGTACACCCAAATTATCATTTCCTATTAACTTTCTAATTGTTCTCATAATCTCACCTGACAGCTGATTGTCTGAACATATGAGCATCTACCGGCCTTTTCCTGTATACACTAAACAGTTAAACTTATGTACGTACTACTGTATAGGGTGGTGCCAAATTTTATTTTTATGCACACCGAGCTGAGACTTGAGAGAACAGAAAGGGTGGTGGGTGGGTGGTGCCCGTATGCTTAAACTGAATGCTTCCTTAATCTTAATACCTGTCATGCTAATTTGAGTTTGGCTTTGTTAAAGCTCTCCTGCTACACATCTGTTTTGAATATCTTTACTTGACCCATTTCATATTGTCAGGCGCAATTACTGGGGCTATAACAACACCCCTCGATGTTTTGAAGACAAGATTGATGGTTCAGGTAGATATTCTAATGAGATCTTCAAAGATTTTTTCTTTGCATCACTGCTTATTTAAACATTCTGATGTTTATTTCAATTCGCAGGGACAAGCAAACCAATATAGGGGAATCATAAGCTGTGCTCAAACAATTCTACGAGAGGAAGGTGCTGGTGCTTTTTTGAAGGTAAATTATCCTTGTCAAATAGAAAATTTTATCATTTTAGGTAGGACAGGCAGACGCTAAAATATCATGTCTGAATACTTTACCTTGGGATATGTTTCTGGCCTGATAAAGCAAATATTGGAGTAACAAACTGAAGCTTAGTTCTGTTGGTGTGCATTTGCTTGATATTACTCTGCTGGCAGGGTATTGAGCCAAGGGTATTATGGATTGGCATTGGTGGATCCATCTTCTTTGGTGTTTTGGAGAAAACGAAGTCAATTCTAGCTGAGAGGAACAGCCGTAAAGTACGAATACTATGAAAGGGGGATGATTTTGCGTAGATGCTGCTATTTTCCCAGGATGTCTACTGATATGTGTGCTCGATCAATTAATTTTAGGAGCTCCGATTCACATCCTTGTCAATCCCATCCGAATCTTGTATTTTGCTAGAGCATTACATGGGGTTAAAGTTATAATTTCTGAATTTCTTTTCGTCTGGCTAGCTTGTTTTGTACTTGAGCTAAAAAGATAATTTTCTGGAAGCGAAATGCTTCTGTTCAAACGGATGATCTGTTGTCATTGCAAAAAAGAGAAGTTCATTAGGATAGTTTACTGCACCCATTGTCCAAAATTATAGGGCGCTGTTTGGTATAGCTCTAGATGCTGGATTTTTGGAGTTGGGGGTACTTTTAGCTCTAAAAATTCATAGATCTGGATCCGTGATTACGTTGATAACATTTAGATGAATTATTTTATTCTTATTTAAACTAAAATATAAAATTTTAAACTACTTTAATTTAACTGGCAAAGTTCAAATTTAGCGTGGATTTGAGATCTGGAGCTATGCCAAATAAAATCTAGGTATCTTTAGCATTTAAAATTTATCCTAAAATATAACTATTTCTCACTCTAATTTCAACCAATTATAACCATTTATTTAATTTTCATCTGCAAGGTGATGAAAGAAACACCAAACTTAAATAGTAGCGTATGTTACAACTGACAGATGTACCGAACTTTAGTGCTGAGCTTGGAAAACATCAGAGTTATTCATAGCATCACCAGTCAAATTGTCATGCCATCTCACCGAAATAGGGTTGAAGACGATAGGCAATAGAAAAGGAGAGCGCTTGAAGCTTGGGCATATTGAATGGAAAATATAGGATGATAGATCTTTCCATTCTCTGTATAGCACTGATAATTTCACACAGCTTAACTAATGCATTAATTATTTGAGAGGATAAAAATGAATATACAATAAATAGGGAATGTCTCATATGCATCTTAGACACACTAGTTGAGTACATTTCTCATGCATCATGTACAAGCTACCACTAATAAGAAAGAATTGAATTCAATAGCACTTTACATGCAGGTACACCCCCCTCTCATCATGTCCCAACTCAAATTCATTTAGGGCTTATTCGGTTGATCTCTTAAGAAAATGATCGGGGTAGATAAGGTATGAAATTAAATCCGCTGAATTTTTTCTTAGAGGAGGGAGGGATTAACCGCACAAGCCCTGAGAAAACACCCACACCTATCAATGTATGCACCTCCCTGGCACCCTCCATGAGAAGTAGTCCATGTTCCCGGCAGCAACCCTTTCCTTATACGTCTTCCAATCGTCGAGCACATTCCTCAGATCGAAGAGCTTGTTGTGCAGCCCAACGCAGCAGTTGGCGTGCATGGTGACAACCCTGCCGAGGTCCTTGCCGTGCTGGCAGAACCCGCCGAAGTGGCCCGTGTCGAGGAACCGCACGGTGGCGCCGACGTGCGGCGGCACGCCTTCCTTGACGATCCGGTCGAACACGAACTGCTCGTGCTTCCCCGGGAACCGCGCCCGCGACGACTGCCAGTGCTCGTAGAACCTGACGGTGCTGGCGCTGGATCTGACGTACAGGAGGCCGCCGTTGGGGTAGTTCCCTGGTGAGGTTGGGTCGCCGACGAAGAAGTCGGAGGACATCACCACCTGTGCATCCGGGGATAGGTGCGGGAAGGGGCTCCGAAACCACAGGATGTCCACGTCCTATATATTGTTCAATGCCAACAAAATTAGTTCAAGATCATCTTTGAGGTGTAATAGACTTTACCATTAGAAAAACAATATACACACCAGTTGAGGTTTCAACTAGAAAGAATGTGTAAAGTGTGCTAGTACCAAAGTTTCACATGAATGAAAAATATTTAGCCAGACAACAAAATAACATGTATGTAGAAAATTTTAGTTAAACACCCCCTTTTTTAATTTACTTGAAATTTCTTTTTGTTGTCCACAACCACAATATATATGAATTTTGAAATTACATTGAGGTATGTCTTGAAAATATATGATTATTTATGACGACAAATCAAAAAGGCATGGAAAGTATGTCAGGAATGACAAGTGAAAAATATACAAAGGAGAAAAAGATGTATGTGCTCTGCTCGTCAGTATTGATTGGCCAGTGCTATTTCAGTTTTGATTAATTTTAAAATGGTTAGACTATGATGATAGAAAGCTTAATGTTCATATTTAGAATAGAGATACAAACCTGGATACATGATACGGCATATTTTTTACTATTTATCAATCTTTTTAGGGAAATAGCTATACTTAGGACGCCATATTTATAAGCCCTCATTAAATCCTTTTACACTCTAAATTATCTACACCTAGGTTTCAATATTTACATTATATTTTTTAACACACAATATATTAAAGATTTAGGATTAAAAGTAATTCATTATATATTTGAAAGAAGAGAGAGGAGAGTTCTTCTTTCAAATATTTAAGAGATAAAAGTATGCTAGTAAGCAATCACATAGTCAAATGACTGAAATTAACTGAAAAATTTGACGTCATTTTTAGCAAATCCTTTCTTCTTAAAAAGGAAAACAAGTGATGAAAGTTTTAAGTATAAATAACATATATCTGTTGATAATTAATTAAGGAGTACTCCACTATTTAACAATGGAGAAATTAAATAAATACATATTAACCATACCGTGAAGAGGAAGCTGAAGCCGAGCTCGAGGATGGTCTGCTGGAACCTGTTCCTCCTCCACATCATCTCCAGGTAGTCGCCCTTCATGTACGACTGCTCGGCGGCGAAGTCCATCCCGTCGACCCTGAACCAGTAGCAGAATTGGTGGACGGCGTTGCACCGCTCGAACGCCCTCCCGTCCATGGCCACCACCAGCAGGTGCCGCACAAGGTGCTCCGTGCCCTCGCCGTGCCGGAAGCTCTCCAGGAACAGGTCCAGGAACGACCCCGGAGCCGCCCACGCCTCGTTGATCGCCGTCATCAGCACCGTCTTGTCCGGCGTCGCCGCTCGCCGGAGCAGCTCGCCCAGGTCCTGCTGCTGCCGCTGGGGCGGCGACGATGGCGTCTCCTTCTGCTTCCCAATTAAACGTTATTCAAGGAAAGGAGGATTTATTTGAAGGAATTTTGTTGGCCTTAGCTTCTGTTGAAGCAATGACTGGATTTTATCTATTATCTATTTTATTTAAAATTCTTTGGAAATTAATTGAATAAATTCTTGTAAAATCCACCAAGTTTCTTGTATTTCGAAATGAGCCAGTAAAGCAGTTGAATCCCTAGAAAATTAACTTCAGGTACTAAATTGACCCTGAGTAAAAGTTCATGGATCATATTGGTTATTCACCCTTTATATAAACTAGGAAGTTAGCCCGCGCATTCGCACGGGCATGTATTATATATAGTTTGTGTTTCCATAATATAAATCGGAAAGGAATATCGCACAGATGCACGGGCATCTTATTTGTTATTAAAAAATGCTAAAAGGAATTATACATCACTATATATGTATATACTGTAAGAGAATTTAGATTATCCTACAATAGAAAAAGAAATATATTTACCGTAAAATAGACGGTAGATTTTAGTATACTACTGATGTGATAAGAATATCTCTTATATTTCAATAAAAGTCCATTTGTCCTGGTAATATATAAACCGGTTGTTTGTCACCGCTACTTACTATCATTGTTTTAAGATCGAGTTAGGTGCACTTTTTAATAAATGAAACTGTATTAGTATCACTAAAACAAATGACACATTATTAATATACTAAAAAAATCATCTACCTACATAACCCGGTGTTCATAACTTATTTTCACATCTATGTATAAATAGTCTAAATATACCTTATATATCTACCAAATAATACAATAACACCGTTAAAAACATGAATGCCTCTTTAATGGATGAAGTCAACTGTATCTGCCAACTAAGGCTTTCGTATGTAATGCCTTGAAACATATGGGTCCCGCGTCGATGTAGCCATACCCCTAAAAACCATCCTAGAGTACAATTTCAACGCTTAGTTCAATATCGTTACAATCACAAATGATTATATGGTAATTATGTCACTTTAGTTACATTGCCTATGGTGGCCTTTCATGGACACCACCTTAACACAACCATGTACATGCCTATGCAATATTTACAATGGTATAGCAAGTACTGCACCCTGCATTGAAGGACAAAGAGGGACATAAAGGAGGAGGTGATGAAAATGTTTTTTTTTTAAGTTTTGAGTCGATTTGTGGTAGAGAATAGGCAAAATGTGTATATGAAGTTAGTAATAAGTACTTCTCAAATTTTAATAGAATACATACAATATTATGTTTTTCAAATGAGTGGGGTTAATCATTCAACACTACTTAATAAAAACTATAGCTAAAGAGACGTACCACCATGAAAATATGCAAAACACCTTATCATTATTTATATTTTGATAAAGACTTATACTTTAGCGGTAGATTTGTTTCCATCATATGTTGTTTTCAACTATATGAGACTCATTTACTAATTCTAAGAATGTACTTATTTTCACAAACTTATTTACACCAACTAATTCGCTAGAGTGCACTTACAGTTAGGTTTAGCGGTGTATAACATTTGTCCATCAATTATACCCGGTATATTAGAATTTTTATCAACCATAAAAAATATACCATAAGTAGTTTTATGCTTATTTTATTGTATTATTCATGTTTTGCCAATACTACTTGGCAAATACGTAATTCTCGTGATGAATTAAGGGTTGTATTATAGCAAAATAACTGTTTAAAATCTTATTTACTATATATCGAGAAAAGTCCTTATATGCCATTGAATGTTCACCGGTTTTCTCATATGCCATTGAAAATTTGCTATTCCCGTATATCGCACTAAATGATTTTTTTCATTTCCTCATATGCCATCCACGTTATCTGACTATTTTAGTTGGCATGGAAAGTAAGAAATTACCCTTAGCTTTCTTTTCCCTTCTTTTGTCTTAGTTTTCTTACCACGAACAAAAAAAGGTGATGCATTTTTTTGATGTTATTCAACTAATGTCGGTATCATGAAGTTACTTACTACCATGGTGAGACTAAATTAAGCACTTAACCTTTGCGAATAAATTAGGCACACAATCAGTTTGCTAAGCCGAGAGATTATTTTTTTTCTAAACTGAATGCTTACATCCAATTAGATACATTAGATTTGGACTAATTAAATTATTGTTCTTAGTGCGATTTAAAAAAGAATACAAACTATTTCTTTCTATAATCTATAAATAAACTATAAAAATGGAAGAGAAATAAAACTTTGCATCCAGTCATTGGTAAATTGGTTGTGTGTTGAATCAATAATGATTGCTAAAGTTACTCATAGTTTTAACTGCAACACATCCTGATTTGTTCTTTACATAGCAGGAAAGGGAGTCCAGGGGCAATTTTGTCATTTTTCAAAAAAACTAACACTATTTCTACTCTTGGGTGACGTGGATGGCATATAGGTGAGCGAAAATTTCGTTTGATGGCATGTACGGGAATAGCTAATTTACGATGGCATATAAGGAAACCAGTGAACTTTTAGTGGCATATAAGGAATATCTATCTATCAAAGTATGCATCTCACTCCTCAAATAGCAATAAAAAAGTTTTGAAAAATTTCAGATACTTATAGAATCTCAATCTCAGCCAAGATAAACTTCAAAAGATCCACTTAAAAATTAACCAAATCTAAATTCTGTTATTTTATTATCACTGGGTAAACTTTAATTTATTTTCTCATAAATCTATTAATTGTGCTTCTCACAGCTCAAATAAGAAAAGTTTTGAAAATTCGAAATACTTTGAGAATTTCATTCTCTCCCGAAATTAAATAAACCTGAATAGATCGATATACTTAAAAAACAATGTTAGGTTTTGTTATTTTAATTTTTACATATGTAGATTCAAATTAACGGTGTATAGTTGTCAAGTGATATTTGACACCATAAAATTTGATATGAAATTATTTGAAACATTATGATCGCATTTGCTATTACATGTTGGCGTCATTTGTCATAATATATTTATCACTACAATAAGTTTACGATTAAGTTTAACTGTGCATATCTGTATAGTATTATTTTTAATAACATCATAGATTAAAGGCTATTGACCACAAATCAGTGCCGGCACTGATGATTTTTCCTTATTAGTATATCTATCCCATTCTAATGTATATGTATAGGGGTGAAAATGGGGTGGGTATTTCCCACTCGCCTGCCCGGTCACACTACTTCGGGACAAATTCGAGTACCCGGGACTTTTTTGGCGGATATGAGATCGGGTTCGGGAATGTAGTATCCGATGGATATGGATTATCCGGTAAAAAATCCGGGTATTACCCGGATAATTATATAGATATTACACTATAATGTTTTTGTGAGGTACTTTTTGGTATTATTTATTGGTTATACTATGATGTATTGTACCCTATTTATTTCCTAAGGTCCTAATGACCTAATATAATAGTATTATGTGATATATGGAATTGTTAAATAGTGATTGCCTATATGATATATAAGATTGTTGCTTCGACTTGATATCGGAATAAATATCCGTAACGGATAGTGTACGTATCTATTTTGGTATGTATTCGTTCCGTATTTTTTTCCGACATTATCCGAGTTTCTATCCGTATTCGGCACTATCCGTTATCCGTGTCCGACCCGATTCCAATTATAAAATATGGGTTAGGATATGGAGAGGGTGAGATCCTACCGAACCCGACCCGTTTTCACCCCTATATATGTGTGCATGTTTTCTTTTTATTTTTTGGCTTTATCTTTTTCTCGATCGTATATGGTGCAGGTATTTAAGTTTTTTTTTTCCAGGTGGGAGACGATCGTACGACGTAAGCACGTTATGTTTTTTTTAGATAGATATTAGCACCATGGGAATTTTAAGATCTCTAATCCAATGTTTAAAATAACGGGTCCACTAATTTAATTGAAAATAGCGTTTGCAGGACATTTAACAGATTTTTAGTATATAATAGATTTCTAGGATTTCTGTAATTTATGTAAGAGCCACGCAGAGGTGTAAAGGCATGTGTACAAAGTTTAATGCACTTTTAGTATATAATAGATAGATTTGGAAGAACATTCATTGAATATTTATTATACATGTTAATTTAACTAAACATATTTATATTTGTGAAGTAATATATTTTATTTTTATATTGTAGAAAATCATATTTTAAAGACCATTGATTTTTTTATGAATGTATGCTTTTCCTGTCTTTAATGTACATGTGTATTTTTTTTCTTCCAGTGAAGATTAGGAAAGCTTTATCGTTTTGTTTTCACAATCATGTACGTTTGTACGTACGGAAAATACAACAGTAACATTTGCATCGTACAAATACGTACGGACAGTAGTAGCGCTTGTACGTTATAAACATGAGGAATATTATTTTTCAATAATAGATCCAATCTAATGGTGTAAAATAATGGGTCCACCAATTTTAGTGAAAATCGACGGTGAGATTAGATTGTGCCACGTGGCGACTTAGGAGCGTTTGTAGGAGTGCCACGTGGTGGCTTAGGAGCGTTTATAGGAAGTTTAATGGACTTTTAGTATATAAAGATAGATAGATAGATAGATATAAATTAGCTCAAAGTTGACTTAGTACAAAAGTCAAAAGTGGTTGAATTCATAGTTAGTAAATTGGTCAACTCATTGTAGATCAAATGAAGGAATGAGCATGCATGCAAGGAATATAAAAAAGTTTATGATCCAGGGTTATGTGGTGCGGTATATATTCAGCAAAACTGAGGAACATGCATGGAAATTTATTGGGACACAGAAGGAATATTTTTCTTCATTTAATCAGTAAAACTAATGATCACTCAATAATTAGCATAATGTACTGATTATTGGGCCAACTAGCTTCCTTCACATGCTAATAGCTGGTATAACCCTCTACGTTGACATCCAATGTATTCGGTATTTTTCACATGGATGAATTCTTGGGTCCAGAATGTTGTCAACCTACAACATACTTTTCTAGCTAGTAAGGTTTTGTTTGTGCTAATCTAATCTGGTGCAGAGTATCTTCGAGCCAGGCTTATCACCATCTTGTACTATAATTCTTTTTTCTATTTCAATATTATATGAAATGAAGACAATAATTTAACTGTTAAGCGACTTCGTTTCTGAACTGTACACCCCCAAGTTGTTGAATTGATCACCCATCATCGATCTTTGACAAGAAAAAAAAGCATAATTAAATGAAGTACCAACTTGATGGTAGGTGGTCCTTCAATTAGGGAAATGGAGACAGCTAAATAATTTCTTGAACTTGATGATAAAGCTAGCTACATCACCTTGCCTCTAAAGCAATTGACTATTTCAACTAGTATATTCCGTAATTACAAATATGACTTTGTCAATTAGCCATGTGTCAGATGGTCAAGTGGTGACGAAATGGAAGTCGCCAATGTGGACCAATTAACTAGTGATTAACAAATCGCCATGTTATATCTGTTAGATTGATAGCCACCATCCTTATAGTAATATGAATTGTTTAGCTAACCCAAATTACAACATTTACAATGCATGCAAGTGATCGATTAAGCAATCTTGAAGTGCGTAATTAATTGGGTATGAATCAGTACTTCAGTATGAACAAAGCAAGCCAAAACACACAAGAAATTAAGCGAACAGTTAATTTTTTCATGTGCTAATTGTTTCGTTTAAATCTTTTTTTTTTAAAAAAAACAGCTGCATATAGATTTTCTTTTTGAAAGCAAGGAGACGAAAGGCAAACTAAACGGACCTGTTGGCTTGTGGGCATCACGATCCTTCGCTGGTTTTGCTGCTGCTCTACCGAGCCGCCGCCATGGCCGCTGCGCGAAGCCGCTTCGTCCTTGGTCTGCTTCTCCTCTCTTGGAGCAACCACTTCCTCTTCTTGCCTCCCCGGGCGGCCGGTCCCCTGCTCGGCGTCGACGACCCTCGTGGCCGGCGTGACGGTGGCGGTCCCCTGCTCCTGCGCATGCGCCCAGCGCGGCGGCGAGGATTTTGGAGGCCCGTCGCCGAGGTCGCGGCAGACGGAGGTGTAGAGCAGGAAGAAGACCGTGGCGAGGGCCGCGCCGAGCAGGAGCGAGGTGGCCGACTTCGTCATGGCCGGCCCTGCCACCGCGCGCGCCGCCAGAACTGAAGTGCGAGCGAGCGAGCGATCGAGAATCACGGGCAGCTCAGCTAAGACCAAGAAGGAAGGAAGAAGACGGCCGGTTGCTCTGTGGCGGCGGCGTATGACACATCACAGCAGCATGGGAAGGTAAGGTTGCTTGCGCGCGCGGGCCGGGGTGGCGGCGAGAGCGAAGGAATGGGAATTATTGGGGGAGAGGAGGTCGCCGTCGTGTTTGGTTGGTTGCGGTGCGAGAGGGAGGCCTCGTGTGGAAGTGGCCGGTTTGGATTGCGCTGTCCCTCGCGCCGCGGCGGAGAAAAGGGAAAATTTCACGGTAGGTAGGTGCGCGCGTTGGCGTCTAGTAGCCAAGTAGCCACCTCGCCTCCCCATCGAGCCTGCCCTGGTGATAGGGAATCTGATCTGACCCCGGGTGTGGGTGGGGTCGGTTTGGCCATACCCTCCCTCCTACTGTTATATTATTATGAAACTTATTGTATCATGTTATTCCGGTGCTAAACTATTAGGACATCTCCGAGATCTTACGCGACGCCGCTGACGTGGTATGCTATATAGACCCTCCCTGACGTGGCATTAACTTTAATCCTTAAAATTGTGCATATTATGACTCAAGTGATGATGATGCCTCTTTCGATGAAAAAGGAAGCAGTGCTGAGTGCTGAGTTGGTACGTCATGAATAGCAATGCTTCAAACTCTCCATTTTCTTTGGCAATGAAATTCAGTACTACAATGGAATTTAAGAATGTAATAATTCAGTATACCTTGGCTGAAAGGAGGGTTATAAACTTTCCAAAGGATGAGTCGCAGAATTAGAGCCAAGTGTGATTGGGCAACATGTCCTTGGTACTATAAGTATGATTGGACGCTGAGAAGTATGAGAACATGATCAAAGCCAATCCACAGTGGAGTTCGAATTACATTAAGACTACTATAAGTAAGGAGATGTTTGCCAATGTTAGATATCCAATATCAATATGACCAAAACTTTAGTGACGAAGAAAATGTTTTATGACAAGAAGGGTGAATATAGTTTGGTGTTTAATTACAAGAAGAATTACTAAGAAGTAATCTGGGAGGCACAGTAATAATAAAACTACTGTATAATCTTATGCTCTGACATGACAAAGGGCTGACGTGGCATCAGTGTCATCTAGGTGTGCAGAAACCATGTTAAACCATTGCAAACCACTAGACCATCTGGCATGAAGCTAGAGGTCTACACACTACCACATCCGGCCCACCAATTTTAAAATGTGAGCAAAACAAAGAGGGGAAAAGGAAATGAATAAAAAAAAGGGAAAATAGGAAATGGAAAAGTCTATTCTAGACCCTCGAAGTCTTATGCTTGTCTAAAATCCCTGAACTACGTGAGCGGGTATAATAAACCTCCCAACTATCAATACTGGAAACTTTAACACCCCGCATGAGCTGTTTTGCCATGGTTTTTGCACAACTAAATGACATGTCGGATGCTACGTCAGCCCTTCGCCACATCAGCGCATAATTTTTTGCCATAGTTTTACCACCATCGTGCTTCGTAGATTACTTCTCAGTAATTCTTCTCGGTAATTAAACACCAAACCGTATTCACCCTTCTTGTCATCAAGCATTTTCTTCGTCACTAAAGTTTTGGCCCTTTTGATCTTGGATATATTAACATTGGCAAACATCTCCTCACTTATAGTAGTCTGAATGTAATTCAAACTCCACCGTGAATTTGCTTTGATCACGTTCTCATGCTTCTCAGCAATTCTCCTTGAAGTGACAAGCTTGTTTTTCTTCCTTTGTGGACATGTGTGCTCGTCAATAAAACTATTTATTTCCCAATTCTCTGACCTAGTTTTAAGAGATGATAGGCAACACCAAGGACATGTTGCCCAAGCACAAATCCTCCCCCCCCCCCCGCCCAATGCACCTACCTTCTAGTGTAGATATTCCGTTCGTTAGACCCTAAAGGGATGCCCCCTTTCATCTGCGCCGATCTTGATCACCACCCGTTTCAGCGGTGAGAACCCCAGCCGCCCCCGTGCACATTCTTCTTCACTGCTTCAAAGAATAACGAACATGGAGAGAGAAAGAGTGAATGTGTGAGAGAGAAGGTAGGCCCACACACACTATATTACTCTGTTTCATCCGACGTGGCGAAGGGTTGACATGACATCTGACGTGTCATCCACATGTGCAAAAAATACAGCAAAACAACCGGGGAGGGGGGGGTTAAGTGTCCAGTATTGATAATTGGGGGTGTATTATTCCCGGTTTCGTAGTTCGGATGTATTTTAGATAAGTAAAAGAGTTCGAGGGTGTAAAATGGACTTCTCACAGAAGGAAAATACGGGGAAGTTAAGAAAAACGTGTGGGAAAATTAAGAAAAACAATAGGGAAGCAGAGAAAATCATGGGGGAATAGATGGGCCAGCTAGCCCGTTGTGCTTGGTCCATGATGGTTCGTGCAGGGGCGGATTCAGCATGGGGGCGGCGGGGTCTCGAGCCCCTGCTACTAGCGTGAAGACCATGAGAGCCCACGAAGCCCCTGCTAAACTTTTTTACCATACATAGATGGGAGGAAGGATTGTAGCTTTATATTGTTTGTTCAGATCCCTCTACTATTTCTTTCTGCATCCGCCACTGGGTCCGTGGGCAGTCGTGCCATGCTAGACTACAAGTTGAGGCACAGGCCCAAGTTTGGCATGGGCCAGCCAACATGCGGTGCCGTGCCTAGGTCAGGCTGCCAGCATGCCTCGGGCCGATCCAATCCATTTGGTCACTGGGCCTGTTTAGTTCCAAAAAGTTTTTCCCTAAAACATCACATCGAATATTTGAAGATATGTATGGAGCATTAAATGTAGATGGAAAAAACTAATTGTACAGTTATGATGGAAATCGCGAGATGAATCTTTTGAGCTTAATTAGTCCATTATTAGCCATAAGTGCTACAGTAATCCACATGTGCTAATGGCGGATTAATTAGGCTCAAAAGATTTGTCTCGCGGTTTCCAAGCGAGTTATAAATTAGTTTTTTCATTTGTGTCCAAAAACCCTTCCGACATCCGGTCAAATGTCCGATGTTGCACCCAAAAATTTTCATTTCACCAACTAAACATGCCCTAGATGAACCTCCAAATTAGTCACTTTTATTTTTTTTTTAGATACAACTTACTTCATTCCTATCTCTCCCCCTATCTCACTGTTAGCTATACAAAATATATTCTTAATAGTTGCAAAATCAATATCGCGTTAAACACTTAGAAATATATAAATATGTAATGAAAAGGATATCCTAACTTTCTTACCTTATCTTCGTTAGTGCAAAATATGGAAGTCTACAACTCTAACATGTGTCAGACCTGTTCCTCACTAGTCTGGCTTCTAGTTGATCCCAGCGCTGTGAGCTTGTGACTAACCACTCCACTATCCGTCCTCAATCCTGAAATGATTCACACACGTAAAGATGGGAGGCTTCAAGTTTCTATAAATTTAATGCCTTTGGCAGTTGTTGCACTCCGATGTGATGTTCTAGCAATCTGGGATGTCCTGGTGGCGAGAAACACGCAGGGGGTCTTCCTGTTAACTCCATAAGATGGTGGGCTAGACGATCTGGATTCGAAACCTCACCCCTTCTAATTATTTGATATTAGGTTGACGGAGCGTGGGGGTCCTCACCGGGAGACCGCGCAGGCCCCCCTTTGCCGGTTCGGCCGGGGGTCCTGGGTGAGATTCTAAGCTCGATGTGTGTGTGGAAGGTTCGCGAGAGTGGAAACACACAAGACACGGGCGATGTATACAGGTTCGGGCCGCTGAGAAGCGTAATACCCTACTCCTGTGTTTTGGTGGATCTGTGTATGAAGAAGCTACAAAGTGCGAGCCAGCCCCCAATCGTTCTGGGATCGTTTTTTCCTCCTCTCTCTAAGTGGGCAAGGTCCTCCTTTTATATCTCAAGGGGATACCACATGCACCATTTCTCCCTCTCTTTCCTCCAATTTGACTTCTCTTCATTAACAGACGGAGATTTGTATGGCTGCCGTCCGAATGACCTTCTGATGGGACGGCCCATACCTACCTCCACTTCCGCCGGAAGCAGGCGCGACGTGGGAACATGGCTGTCTGCTGACGATATGATCATTGTCAGACCGGTCACAAATCAGTCATTCTTGTCCACCACGTGTCAGTTTAACAATCTGCATGTTCGCCCCTCTTCATACAATGTCTTGCTTGTAATGGTTAGGATGAAGCCTGGCATATATCTGACCGGAACCAACGTGCCATCTCCAGGAGCTAACACGCCGGCTCCGGCTAGGGACGAGTGCTTGGAGGCTCTCGTCCTGACGGGATGGGGCGAGGCGTGCGTCAGACCGCCTGTCGCCACCTAACCCGCAATCTGACCGGTCTGTGACCAGTCACAGACCGAATAAACGAGCGCGCTGTACTGCATTACGTGTGGCGTGACGTGCTCACCCAAACCGCAATAAATGCGGTTAGGTGAGCCCCGCTGCGCTCACCTAACCCATACACGCGGCGCAAAACCCACAAGGGGTCGGGGCGCCTCGACCCTCGGGGCCGAGGCGGGAGCGGTCCGACCCCCTCGGGGAGACAAAGAGGAGGGCGAACACATCACCCTCGGGCCCGACGCCCCCCGAGGGTGCCAGGCCACGTGGGCGATTGTGTCTGCCTCAAGCCTCTAGTCATGATACTCCCGGTCCCATGTCACCGACAGTAGCCCCCGGCGTTATGCCAGGGCGATCGCCCTCCCCGAGGGAAGCGGTTGGGCGTGACGCCACTTCTAAGGCCTGGTGACAGGTGGGGCCGGTTCCTACAGGTGCCGTCGAACTACATCACCTAGAGGGCGGTGTGAGGCAGCTGCGATGGGCTCGAGCTGGCCTCGGGGGCGGAGACGAGTTCGGGAGCTGGGGTCCACTCCACCACAAAATCGGCGAGGGCCTGGCTCTTGATCGCGTGGCTTGGTTCAAAGCGCAAATCGAATTCAGAGAGTTCGATTGCCCATTTCACCACCCGTCCAGTACCCTCTCGGTTATACAAGATTTGGCCGAGGGGATAAGACGTAACCACCGTGACCCGATGCGCCTGGAAATAATGGCGCAGTTTCCTTGAAGCCATCAGAATAGCGTAAAGCATCTTCTGGGCCTGAGGGTATCGGGTCTTGGCGTCCCGGAGGGCCTCACTAACAAAGTAGACGGGCCGCTGCACCTTTCGGTGGGGCCGATCCTCTTCGCTAGGGGCCACATCCCTGGGGCGCTCTTTGTCCAAGCGGCCTCGCGG